GGCGACGTCACGGTCCTTGATTTTAATCTATTCATAAAGGGCTTTTGAACTGCTCTTAGTCTGACTCGTCACCCAGGACCCGTTTGCCTTGGGAGACCCTACCAGGGACATATAGCCCCCGACAACATAGCTCCTAGGATCACTCGGGTACTCAAACCCCTCCACCACAATAAGGTGGCGGTTCAAGGAGGGGTACTTAAAACTAGAGACTTGTATGAATCTGTATAATCTGTACAATGTATATTTACAGGTATTGCACTGAGGGTTATTGTCCAGTCATACTGTCGTTGGTTAAGTGTTCATCAGAATGATGGCCTGGGGGAAGAAACTGTCCTTGTGCCTGGTTGTCTTGGTGCATAGTGCACAGTAACGCCATCCAGAATCAGAATCCATAGGGGAGGAGTTCAAACAGATTGTGTCCAGGGTGTGAGGGGTCTGCAGTGATCCTCTCCGCCTTCCTTTTGACCAAGATTTGATGATCTGACCTCCTCTTCTCTCCTCTCTGCTCTCTCCATCCATTTATATGCCACCATTACACGTCACTATCTCTCCCTGTACCTTTCTGCAGGTTGCCCTGACTCTGGAGCTCTATGTTTCTGATGAGCAGTTCTTGGGTTTTTCCCTATATCAATTATAATAATAATCCATCTATCCATCCATCTATTATCTATACCAATTATCCTAACAAGGGTCGCAGAAGGGCTGAAGCCAATCCCATATGATATTGGGCGAGAGGCAGAGTACACCCTGGACAGGTCTAACAACAACAACAATAATAGTAAGGACTTAATGTCTTGTCATTTCAGTATCTCTAAATAATTAGCCTACTATAGTTACATCTATAGTAGCTGTTTGTTTGTTTTTTAAATTGTGATATAATGTAGCCTATATGTAGGACTAGTCTTCTAATTTCTATTACTGATTTAATACCACTTTTTTGTTGTAATTACAACTACACAAGTGTAATGGTAATTGCTGCATTTACACCAGTTTTGATAGTGTACATGTCATTTCTGCTACAACACTTCGTTTTGTTCAGAGTGAGCAGAGCTGGAAATGTCTGGGAGCGTCTCCTCTGTGGTTGCATCAAGACAATAGCATTGCAGAAAGAACAGTGGAAGTTAGACCACTTACCTCCAAAATAAGAGCGTTAAGAGCGTGAGGTTTCTAGGTTTTAGAATGTGACTGGCAGAAATGATACAGTGCAATATTCTGACATGAAATGTAGGCTAATTAAGTGTAATTAAAATGGATACAAAAATACAGGAAATTAACATTGCAGACTACTTATTTCCACACTGTCCAATTGTGGTTTTGTAGTCATCATAATACAGAAAACACAAACAAATGAAGAGAAATTCATTCTGAAATGATTAAAAAGCTTACAGGGAAACATTCGGGACCGTGTTTTTACAGCGATCCTACAGTAGTAGTGTTCTGGCAGATGTCTTTGCGCCCCCTTGGAGGTCAGCAAACCCCTTTATTTTGAGCCTTCTGTCTGGAGGTCGTTGCTCCCTCTGAAGTTGTTACCTTAATATTAGAGACATTCTCACAGGACACCACCGGATGTCGGGTTTGTCAGTGCGCTGGTCGGTTCCTGGAAAATGTTGCTTCACACGACTATTGACCCTCCTACCTCCGGTACAGCTGCATCAAGTCAGCCACATCATAGACATGCAGAACCGGAATTAATACAGCACCTTCAAATTAAATAAGGAGAATGACGTATTTTTTTGGGTGAAAATGACAAGTATCGTGGAGATTAGAATATTGCATTGAAACGCATTGTTCTGCCATACAGTTAAATATAAACTGAGTAAACAGCTTCAAAATGCAAATTCTATGTAAAAGATTTTCCCCTAATTGGGGTTTTATTTTGAAATATCCAACTGGATGTGACTGTTTTAGTGATCAGAGCTACCTTTACCCTTATGTCGCTGTACAAAACAGTACAGATCGCCCAGCTCTCCTCCGACAGCTACTCGGGAACATTTTGCAAAGAGGACTGTGAAACATGGAGCGTTTATAGGGAAGTAACAGGCTCCACACGTCGGATACTTGGTCTGCCACTCATTCTTCTGGGCACTCCTTGTTTTTTGTGTGCTGAATGTGGATCGAATTCAGCAGGGATCCCAGCAGACATTCCCTGGTGGTTTGGTAAGTTAGGACTTCGTGTCCCCCTCAATAATCGGTTGACGAGAGATCCTGTTGAAAAAGCCACATTGACTTTCAGGGGATCTGTTGTTGCTCTCTTGTTGTTGAGCTTCACAAGCTGGCGAGAGTTGCTCTGCCAGTTCAGAGGCGCTTATGGGATCAGCCAAATGTAGACAAATCAGGGACCGTGTAGATGGTTACTTTAATGACAGCTAGGCCTAAAGTCTAAGTAACACAGACCAGACCGTAAACACGAGCAAAACTCGCACACAGTCCACATAGGAATGGATAACTATAAAGTAATTCAGCCCCAAAACTAAAAGGCTTGAGTGTAATCAGCACTTTGTTTTATGCAATCTGGTTATAGATGGATTTGGCTTACTCATGAATTATTAATGTGTCAGAATTACGTGATCGTGGGTTGGAAAGAACGCTCCTGAGGGAAGACAATAGCATGCATTAAAGCATGGACTAGGTGTCATGTGAGGAAGCAACCGGACAATACTGTATGCAGAAAAGTATGTGAAATAAGTTATGATTTTGTATTTGTACAGGTGTTCATTACTGCTGCATTATAGGTGAGAGAGACTGACACTTTTGATGAGAATACGCAAGCACATTCTCTAAGCACGCTAATCTCTGTTAAATAAGGGGACACTGAATTAGGGTGTATTGAGCCGGGACCTTCTGAAGACCTCAGGTGGTTGTTAGGGAACGGTCAAACACTAAGACACATTTCAGGTATCTGTTGTACTTAATGGAGAAACTGCTGTGAAAACATCAGCATTTAATGTGTTGTAACAGCCCCCAGTTTATTTTTGTCAGCAAACGAAAAAGAGCCAGATCTTTTTCTTGTTTTGCTGTTTCATGCTCAAGTTGAGGAGTTTGAATTTCAACAAATGAAAACCATAATATCCCCAAAAAACACCTACAGTATGTTTTATATATTATATAAAATTAGATTAAAAAATAAGACATTTGTAACTGATTATGTGGCAAATTAAATGTTAGGATCATGCAGCAGGACACTGTCTAAACCTATTATCAGGAATGCATTGTTTTCCCTATGAGGTAATAGATTATTATTTACTGACAGCAATTATTGGCTGTAATCCCCCCACCAATGTACAGGAAATGGCAACTGCTCTCAGTGGCCGAAACCCTGGTGGACGAGGACAGAACCGAAGTAAGGGTCGGATTTTAGGTATTATTGATGCCATCCAGGATGCGGTGGGGCCACCAAAACAAGCGGCAGCTGACCGGAGGACCGTGGAGAAAACCTGGAAACTCATGGATAAAGTTGTAAGTTTGAAACTAGAGAAATGCATTTCCTGTTGTAAATGTGTGTGGATGCTGATAAGCTGAAAGATCATTTTGAAAATGCCTGAAATCAATTGCTGAATGATCTGAAGGATGGGGTGCAATAAAGTAGGAATGTCCTTGAAGAGCTGAACATTTTGATACCTGAATGGCGTTTCTAGCTGAAAGTATGCTGAACTTATTAAGATGTGAAAATAGTCCAATTGGACCCCACAAAGTAGGTAAAACAAGTAGGTGTGAGCATGTGTGTGTGTGAGAGAGAGAGGGGGAGAGGGAGAGAGGGGGGAAGGGGAGAGAGACAGTGAGAGGGAGAGAGAGGAGTTATGAAGTGCCATGTCTCAATTGTGCTGCATTTTATGGACCACCAGATGACACTCCAGGACTGTGTCATTGACTCAGCACTTTGAGCTCCCATTGACTTGTATTGCAAAAAATAAAGCTGAATAGGTTAAAAAGTATAAATGTTATAAAAACGTTGAGTACAAGCAGGGATGTCCTTGAAGAGTTGAACAGATGAAGACCTCAATGGCCTGTATAGCTGAAAGTATGCTGGACTTATAAAGTGCCAAAAAAAAAGGGTGGATGATCCCAGAATAATAATAATAATAACTAGAGAAATGCATTTTCTGAAGAAAATGCATATGGATGCTGAGTGCTGAAAGATCGACCTGAAAATGCTGAACATTTTGACATTTCAATGGTTTCAATAGCTGAAATTAGGTTGAAGTAGAATTTTCCCATTTATTTGAATGGGACAAGATTTTCAAAATAAAGCTAAATATTTCAAAAGTATGAAGTTTGCAAAAGTTTTGAATAGAAGCATGAATGTCCTTGAAGAGCTGAACATTTGAATAGCTGAAATAGCTGAAATTATGCTGAAGTAGAATTTTTCCATTCATTTGAATGGGGCAAGATTTTCAAAATAAAGCTAAATATTTCAAAAGTATGAAGTTTGCAAAAGTTTTGAATAGAAGCATGAATGTCCTTGAAGAGCTGAACATTTGAATAGCTGAAATAGCTGAAATTATGCTGAAGTAGAATTTTTCCATTCATTTGAATGGGGCAAGATTTTCAAAATAAAGCTAAATATTTCAAAAGTATGAAGTTTGCAAAAGTTTTGAATAGAAGCATGAATGTCCTTGAAGAGCTGAACATTTGAATAGCTGAAATAGCTGAAATTATGCTGAAGTAGAATTTTTCCATTCATTTGAATGGGGCAAGATTTTCAAAATAAAGCTAAATATTTCAAAAGTATGAAGTTTGCAAAAGTTTTGAATAGAAGCATGAATGTCCTTGAAGAGCTGAACATTTGAATAGCTGAAATAGCTGAAATTATGCTGAAGTAGAATTTTTCCATTCATTTGAATGGGGCAAGATTTTCAAAATAAAGCTAAATATTTCAAAAGTATGAAGTTTGCAAAAGTTTTGAATAGAAGCATGAATGTCCTTGAAGAGCTGAACATTTGAATAGCTGAAATAGCTGAAATTATGCTGAAGTAGAATTTTTCCATTCATTTGAATGGGGCAAGATTTTCAAAATAAAGCTAAATATTTCAAAAGTATGAAGTTTGCAAAAGTTTTGAATAGAAGCATGAATGTCCTTGAAGAGCTGAACATTTGAATAGCTGAAATAGCTGAAATTATGCTGAAGTAGAATTTTTCCATTCATTTGAATGGGGCAAGATTTTCAAAATAAAGCTAAATATTTCAAAAGTATGAAGTTTGCAAAAGTTTTGAATAGAAGCATGAATGTCCTTGAAGAGCTGAACATTTGAATAGCTGAAATAGCTGAAATTATGCTGAAGTAGAATTTTTCCATTCATTTGAATGGGGCAAGATTTTCAAAATAAAGCTAAATATTTCAAAAGTATGAAGTTTGCAAAAGTTTTGAATAGAAGCATGAATGTCCTTGAAGAGCTGAACATTTGAATAGCTGAAATAGCTGAAATTATGCTGAAGTAGAATTTTCCCATTCATTTGAATGGAGCAAAATTTTCTAAATAAAGCTGAATATTTTAAAAAGTATGAAGTTTTGAAAAGGTCTGAATAGATCCACGCATCTCCAGAAAAAGCTGAACATTTTGATACCTGAATGGTTTTGCTAGCTGAAAGTATGCTGAAGTAGTTAAGGGCCAAAAAATGTACGGAAGAATAATAAAGAAATAAAGACCAGGAAAACAAGGTATGGATGCTGAATCAGCATCCATACAATAATAATAATAATAAAGATCAGGAAAACAAGGTATGGATGCTGAATCAGTATCCATACAATAAAGAACAGGATAACATAGTATGGATGCTTGTCAGCATCCATACAATAATAATAAAGACCAGGAAAACAATGTATGGATGCTGACTCAGCATCCATACAATAAAGAACAGGATAACATAGTATGGATGCTTTACAGCATCCACACATTAATAACCCCACCACGTCTACCCAGATGGTAGTAGGCAGACAGGAGAGAGGGAGCTCATGCTAATGTGGTGCATATGTGTTCCCTTTGCTTTTCCAAGGGTGCATTTCATTAAATCAGACATTTGTGTGACACATTTTGGCTTGACTGGTATGTATTTGTCAGACTCATTGATAATTCATTGATGAGGTCTCCAAGAACAGGAGAACTCTAATTTATTAACCAAATTCAATCAGATACTCAATAAAAGTAAAGGCAGCATTGTTAATGAGTTGTCTGAATAATGTTAACACCCAGGGGAAGATGTGTATCTTTGAAATAAAGGTAATGAAGAAATGTACCTAATTATCTTTTCATTATTGACATCACTGCTGCCTTAGAGTTTGCCTATGAGCAGAATAAGAGCTTCAGATTACCATCAGATCCTGTTCGATTGTTATGTCCAGTGCTTGCTCCCTTTTTGGAATGTGGTAAACACAACTAAATGTTGTACATCAAGCAAGCATTCATTCACCCATTCTTTTCTTTGCCACAGGTCCGGCTGTGTCAGAATCCCAGACTACAGCTGAAAAACAGTCCACCGTACATCCTGGATATCTTACCTGATACCTACCAGCACCTGCGTCTTATACTGGGCAAATATGAAGAGAACCAGAAACTCACACAGCTCAGTGAGAATGAGTATTTTAAAATCTACATCGATAGCCTTATGAAGAAATCCAAACGGGCCATCCGGCTCTTCAAAGAGGGAAAGGAGAGGATGTATGAGGAGCAGTCACAGGACAGGTAAGAGAATGTTTGGTAAGGTGGAGGGTGACTGGGATTATGGTGAACAGAGGTTGTTGCCTGCCTTAAAACCAAATGTAAAGCAGTGATAATCCTGGGATGACTTCCAGACACAATGGACAAAAGGAAATTAAACAGACAATATGAAAATAGTTGAATACATTACCGTTTTGTTGATGATCTAAGCATTAACACGCTTCAATTAAATCAGTTTAATCCACAGTTCACTCATATCTGTCACATTGAATTTCAAGTGTAAAACTGTGCAGTGATATCAAATAGTAGTAATAAGCATCAGGTAAGAAGCTCCTCCACAGCTCTCTTAATGAATTTACTAATCATATAATAATTGTCATTTCAGATACAGTCATTCCTAATTTACTCCAAAATGATCCTGACTCAGCAAAATTCTTGTTTGCTCTCAGCCACGTCACTGTTACAATAGATAATAATACCTGAACATGGGTTTACAGCAGAGGGACAGCGCTGACGGTGAGGAAGACGATGACTATTATGGCAGTGATCCTAAGTGAGAGGCTTGCTCATTTCACCAGGGTTACAGGAAGGACATGCAGCAGCTCTGTCCTTTCCATAGTCCAGTTTGCAAGATGCGACATATCAAACGTAAACACATATTGTGGTTTGTGGCCTGTAACCGTCCGCTATGTCATCTTTGCTTAGATCAGCCCACTGAGATAGTCACGTGTTAGACAAGAGCCTGACTGAGTGGGAGGTGGAGACAGAGAAGTGAAGGAGAAGAGACTTTGACAGAGAAGAGGAAGCAGGGACATTGTCATCAGAAAAATCTTGCAGTGATTTTTGCCTCCCTTTACTTGAATCCGTTACTGTATGCATCATCGTGCATGCAGTGCATTATACTAAATTGTCATCATTTTGTGATAGTCAAATTGCTTTCATTGCTGACAGGAAGTATGCTATTATTAAGTTAAAAGAATATATAAATAGTTTTTTCAGTCTTTTTTTTCAGAACAACAAACTTAGTGATTGGAGCAGCAGGTTTAAGGAAAATTTGACAGGATATATGGGTACTAGTAGTAGTAAGGACCAAGTCCTCCAACCTAAACAACACACACACAACATAAGGACAGTCTCAGTAAAATTGTGTGGGATTCTCTGTGAAATCAGTGTGAACTGCCTCACTACAAACCAGTATGTGCGTTGCCATAAAACATCTTTGTTGGTATAGTGTAGGAGAAAAAAACAAAAAGTGCATTTTGTTACATATTTCTATAATTTATCTAACAGTTTGTGCTAGAGATAATTATGGGTATATAAGTCTCCAGTGATTGTCAGGAGCACTTTCTGATTGCCATCTGCAGAGGGAAAATCCCCATGCACTTCACATCCTGTTCATATATTTCCTCTCTGGTTGAGCTCTGAAGTAGTCGCCCAGCAGAGGTTTTGATCTGTCTTTGTGGACATGGTATTTTTGGTCTCTTTCTCAAAGTTGACTTCTTTCTTGTTGCCTCAGTAATGGTTCTCTTCTCCCTGAAGTCTTCCACAGACTGCTTGTGTTGGATCGATCTGTCACAGTTGAAACAACAGTGTTAACAGTATACACTACACATTGCTGCTATATGTATAATAAAAGAGGAGAAATCACAACTTTGAAATATTTTGGTTTTGAAACTAAATGTCAAAGTTGAATCAGTAGTTCAGTACACTGTGATTTAGCTGTTGTTGGCTTTGTAGTTATAGTAGGTTATATTTCAAGATTCAATCCATAATTGTAACTCCCTTCATCTCCCCATGAAATACAGCATTATCCATTGCCTCTCACATTTTAGGCAGGTTTAAACAGGCATTAGTACATGAAGGTATACATGTTGCATTCTGTACTTTAAACATGCTTGTATTTGATGTTAAGAGGATGCGTCAGCCACACATGAACTCTGATAAACGCTGAGAGACACTGGTTAGATTTTTTAAATTCAAACAAACAAAAACGGTAAAGTAGTTCAAGCTGATGTTGCATTACATAGACAGGAATTGATTTCATTACTGACTGGTGTTATACTGACTTTATAGCATGTTATGGTGGGCAGGTGTTGCTGGATGCCGCGAACATCAGAAGGGTTTTAGCAGCTTCTCTAGTCTCCTCCACTGCTGTGTTACATCCTCACAGACGTTGTCACTACTCCTATTTGTGCTCAAGTGAAGAATGAGACTAACCTTCAACCAGAGGTCTCATTTTCAGTCTCAGTTGTATGCAAGCTTACTCCCTATGTAAAAACACTACAACTCGATTAGCTTCAAGAGTCCTCCAGAGGCCCTGTTCTGTATCTGAACCTAATAAGCAGTTTTACTTTTAGTAAATTGAAAGTAATTTATATGGAGGTGCTGTTTTCAACCCCACACTACAATTACTGGTAATACAACAATGACTGTAATCAGAAGCCATTCCATTTCTCTCTGCTAAAAGTCCCCAGATTCTTCCTGCATACAATATGTAGGAGAAAGCCATCCAGACTGAAAGATGTACCAAACTATTTCAGACAACAAAGCTGCATGTCTTTGCATTTGTTTTGTCGTCTTTGGTGATATTTTGCATTGCATAACATACAATAAGATGCATGAAAGTAAGCAGTTGTTGTTGAGGAAATAGCAAAATGATCTCACATGTGGCATCATATCTGTCTCCAGGGACATGAGTAGCCATATGTGCCCTGCTGTGTTGTTGTGGCAGCCTGTCTAGCACAAGTCTGGTTCATACGCCTGACTGGCTGCTGTGATCATCTCCAGACCTTTCTTCAGGGTTGCAACCCATTTTAATCCATCTGATGTCCATGAGGCACACCCCACCCCCAGCGTTGTTTCCCTGTCTTCATTGTCCCCGTCTGACCACCTGGTCCCCCGTCCTGCTGCATCTTTCTTTTCCACATGCTGAGCAAGAATGGATGGTATAGATGTGATAGGAATATTAATTAGGAAATTAAAGGATGAGAGAAAATTGCAAACAGCTGTGCTTATAGTGGGGTTAAAGATTGTACAGGGACATTCTGTTCTTGCTTTAAATGTTCATCTAACCTTGAGGTAATTATCCTTGACTCTGAAGCTATATATTTCACTTAAGCCTGGACAACAATTTGCCTTTCCAGCCCGAGAGCCCCTAATATGACAGTAGGCTGCTGTCTTTCATCAGACAAAAAAAAAAAAAAAAATTGTCAGGACAATTTTTAAAATGATTTCTTTATTTTCTAGAACAAACCTTTAACACCATAACATTGTGGCAATGACTGAACTCCTTCTTTCTGTATTAGTAAAAAGTGATGAGTGCACAAGACAAGTTTTTGTTGTCCATCCTTCTTCGTCTCCAACCGTCAATCTTTATCTGAGACCGGGTCGCGGGGCCAGTAGTCTGAGCAGAGCCTCCCAGACTTCCCTTTCCCCACACAGCTCCACTAGCTCCACAGGAGGGACCCCAGGGCATTCCCAGGCCAGCCGGGAGACATAGTCTCTCCAATGTGTCCTGGGTCTGCCTCGAGGCCTTCTCCCAAAGGGACATGCCTGGAATACCTCCCCAGGGAGGCGTCCAGGGGGCATCCTAAACAGGTGCCCGAGCCACCTCAACTGGTTCCGGTCAACGTGGAGGAGTAGCGGCTCTACTCCGAGCTCCTCACGGGTGACTGAGCTCCACACCCCATCCCTAAGGGTGTGCCCAGCCACTCTCCGGTGGAAACAAATTTTTGCCACTTGTATTCGCGATGTCATTCTTTCGATCATGATCCAAAGTTCATGGTCATAGTTAAGGGTAGGAATGTAGATTGACCGTTAAATTGAGAGCTTCACCTTACGACTCAGCTCCTTCTTCACCACAACGGACTGGTACAGAGACCGCATTATTGCGGACGCTGAACTGATCCATCTGTCAACCTGCTGCTCCATTTTTCCCCTCACTCGTGAACACGACCCCGAAATACTTAAACTCTTTAACTTGAGGGAGCAAGTATTGTGTGATAGTTTTAGGATTTCCTTGAATGAACATAATCTCCAGGCCGATGCGTGTTCATGTGAGCTTGCCTGACATCCACCGGTGCCCCCACCATATTCGAAAAATCTTATATTGCATTGTTTGTTATGTATATTTTCAATAAAGCCTATTTTATTTTAAGATGTCATCTTGAAGGCAGCAGATGTTGCTCCAACATCTTTTTGTATTGTTCATCATTAATGGGACCATCATAGAAGTTTAAGTGATCCTTGTCCAGGGAACTGACACAACCCCAGACCATGACAGACCTTGGCTTTTGGACTTGTTGCTTCTAACAGTCTGGATGATCATTTTCGTCTTTGACCCAGAGCACATGGCATCCATTCCTTCCAAAGAAGACCTGAAATACTGATTGGTCTGACCACAGTGCACATTTCCACTGTGTGATGGTCCATCCCAGATGCCTCTGATCCCAGAGCAGTCGGCTGTACTTCTGGACACTGTTGACATAGGGCTTCTTTTTGGTACAGTCCAGTTTTAAGCAGCATTTATGGATGTAACTACATATTGTAGTGGCTGACACAGGTGTGCCAAAGTCATCCTGAGCCCCTGTGGTTATATCACTCATAGAAGAGTGACAATTCTTGATGCAGCACCATCTGAGGGATCAGAGAGCTCGGTCATCCAGTTTAGGCTTGGTCCTTTATGCACTGAAATCCCCCCAGATTCCTTGAATATTTTAATGACATTCTGCACCGTAGAAGGTGACATATCCAAATCTCTTCCTATCTTTCTTTGAGGAACATTGTTTTTAAACATTTCAATAATTTTCTCAGACATATGTTGGTAAACTGGCGGTCCTCGGGCCATCTTTGGTCCTAAAGGGCTCAGCCTTTTCTGGATGCCACTGTTGTACCAAATCATGATGTAGTCACCTGTTGACATCACCTGGTTCAAATGGAATCATCATTTTGTTGTTTTACCTCATTACTGGCCCTGAAATGCAACATCCTGACTTTTTTGGAATGTGTTGCAGCATCAGAATTGA